GCATTCCTTCTAGTTAGACTTAGCTGGACGCCTCTCAAATTATTTATGATCTGTTCCCAGTTTCCTCATTGGCTAGAGCAGGTGGCACATAATTGCTCATAAACACAGTACTTTCTGTCTCATCTTTGTTTTCATAGCCTTGAATGCTTTATCAATCAGCTTACTTAGCTAGTAAGGCTTCATGCTTGGGAATAGTGAAGTGTGAGGAAAACAGATACATTAGATCTTCCATGCAGTGAATCAAAATCAGGCATTCCAAGTCTACTGTCGGCTGTGAATCCAATGAAAATCATTGGGCAAGAATTTCAGTAAATGCAGTAACTGACTGTGTGAGATGAAGTTTGGCTTTGAAAATTACAGACTGGAAGTAGGCAGAAAAATAGTAAGAGAAGGCTGACTTGAAAAAAAAAAAAAAAGTACATGGACACCATAGCAAAGAAATAAGAATTTCTCTCACAGAAGAGGGAAAAAGATGGAAAACTCTGCAAAGGAGAAATATTGTGATGCTGTTGACCAGCAGAGGGTATATGTGGGGAAGGATGTCTTAATCTTTTTTAAGCATCTGCTGTAGGTGCATGAGCTAAGCTAATCTTAAGCTTCTGCATGCAGATCTGTATTAGCTACAGTCACGTGGCTATTCTTAACGACTGGACCAGTAGCACAGTAGTCTCTCAGATTAGGCAGGGATGCTTCAGCACGTGGTGGAGGAGAATCATGGACTACATTTGTAGAATGAAAGGCGTGTTGGTACAATGATACAGAGAGAGAACTAAGTGAACTATCTGAAAAAAATTCCAGACAGTGAGATGGATAGCTCAGGAAAACGGCCTCCCAGTCGAAGTAGGGGTTTTTCATACTTCAGACTTGCCAGAAAAAAATGCAAGTAAATATAAAACTGGTAGGAAGCTGTCTACTGCCTGGGGAAAACAACCTCGATGATTTAATAGACTTTTTGTGTCTGTAACATCTGGATTCAGGGAGTTAATCTGAGCTAGTGGCATTCTGAATCTGCTGATCTGGTGCTAAATCAGGAAAACTGGGAAGTCACAAAGTGCACAGCTGCACCGATTAGAAGGCAACACACATTGAAACTGGTAGTCACTCACCAAATAACATGAAACTTCTGTGTTAAAATAATAAAATCGTTGGACTGGAAGAGGCCTCAGAGGGAACTTCAGTCTTCCCATCATTGATAACAGATGTCTGTCTGCTCTCGCCTTAACCTGGCTGCTCTGTTCCAGTTCCTCATGATCTCGGCACCTCACCTGAAATGTCTCCTCTAGAATGTAAGCTCAGCGCTACCTCCCCTGTCCCCTACAGCCCCAAAGCCCATTTGGAGGCTGCTACCAGGATCCTGCAGCCTCTCTTGCTTACGCTTCCTCCTTTGCCCCACTCCCAACTTCAAAATTTCTGTAGCCACAGAGTTTAAACCCTTCAATCTTTCCTTACTGGTCATGTTCACAACATACCTAATCATCCTGTTGGCATGGTCACCAAGCGTCTCAAAAACTGTCTTCATGGAAACCCACACAGAGCTGCAGCTGCAGGCTTACCAAAACTGAGAAAGCAAAAGGAAAACTTGGTTTTGGGTGTCCACCTATTTGTGTGCCTCTGTGTGGCATCTGCTGTTTTCATAACAGCACTGCGCCAGGGACTCTTGTTCAGACTGACCCACTGCAATAACCCCATATCTTTTTAAAAATCTGCTATATAGGCAACATCTCTCTCTGTGCAGTTGATTATTTATGCCCAAATTTAGAGTTCGCAGTTGCCCCCACAGAAATTTCATCCTGGGTTTTTTTCTGTGTGTTTTTTCCGTGTTTTTTTTCTGCTGGTGATTCAGCAGATTCGGTGTATTCTCCCAAGTATTCTCTTAAAAGTATTTAGTGGATAGAATTGCCAGACATCATAAATTGGGACTAATGGCTCATTATGCCATGCCCCAAGGCAGTTAAACCTGTACTTTACTTGAAAGAGTCTGGATTTTACGTGATGGTAAAAAAAGGAGCACATACAGTTGTTCTTGGTTGTGCAGAAAAGGAGCCCTCTTTGTACGTGTAACGTAACTCGCTGGTTTTTCACGGTTTTTAATGTAAGTGTGAGGCATTCTTAAACACTATTTCTTTCTAAGCATTTATTTCAAGACTTAGCTGTGGGTTATAGCCCCACATTTCTTAGCGAATGTAGTAGAGAACTTGAACCATCGATGCAGTTAGGTGGCAGGTGGAGCAGGCGTCTGTCAGTCCTCGTTGCTGACTGTTCCTCTATCAGCTCTCACGGTGGCCGTATTTGTGGCGGAAAGAGACACTTATGTTCATTTGTTTGAAGTCTGCAGTTGCTTCATTCTTGTTAGCCAGATCCTCTGAGGAACTTGCACAGGTACAAGATAATTGCTAGTTTAATGGAAGAACTTCACCTTCGAAGCACTCGGCCAGCATATCTTCAGATGTCAAAAAAGCTGCTGGCTGATACTCACAAGTTACCTGAGCAGGAATTACTTGCCCTGTTGCACCAGCTCTCCTTTCCCTGCTTCCGTAATTCTGGGTTACATTCATCTTTTCTCTTGTTTGACTGGTCGGCTGGGTTGTGACTTCCCAGGAGGGTACTGGGCTGCTTACAGTTTGTACAGCACCTTCCTATGAACAAGTGACAAACGCTGGCACTTGGCAGAAGGCAAACGGCAATGAAAAACTGCTCGGTGGGCTGAAACGGTGGGCAGGTTCCGCAGCCCTAAGGAGTCCGTCGTGCAGTGAAGGGAAAATACCAGGAAAGGCAAGTGAAGGGTATGGTGAAGTTTGAAGAACTTAATCCTGGACGCATGGGATTGCATTTGCAAATTCATTCCTCACGTACACTTATTGTTCTGTAAACTCTGATCAATTTGCTACATAGGTTCTCCATAACAGGAAGGGACCTTTCTGTAGAAAAATAACATGTAAAAGACCCAATTCTAGGTTGTTCCACATGTCGGCTTCAAAAGTTGATAATAAGGAACTGTAATTTGTAAAGTTTGCTTTTTCCCCAAGGATCAACAAATAGTTATTTGCTAAGCAATATAATTAATGAAGAAAAGAGGAGATTAAACATTACCTGCCATGTTGTGTTGTCATCACTGTCTTTTTACTGAATGAAGTGTTTGTGTAACTACATCCGATAGTGGTTTTAGGCTAAATGAGTTTTTTTCACTGGAACGGTTTTCTGCCTTTATGCATGAAACCATACTGACTTCAAGGAGAAGTGTCTTCTCATTTGAACAAAGTACAGTAATTTTTTTTTTCTATTTTTTTCTACTTCCTTTGTCCATTGCAGAACTTGTGAATTGGTGTGAGGCCTTTAGGAATGAAATGTTTATGTAATAAAACTAAAAGTATTCTTGTCAAAGATGTTAAATGCAAAGTTGAACTTAGCAGGGTTGCTCACTTTCTACTGGTGTGAAGTTTATAATTGTTCATTTTAGTTTAGCTGAAGTATTTCAGAATTGAAGAAGCTGAAGCACGAGCCAATGTGAAGATAACAACAGCTCTCTGTTGCCTGCCTTAAGTAGTCACATTTTACTTCCTCGGTTCTAGAAACATTCTCATGTAATTAAAGAATTTTTGGGGGCTTGGTGGGGGCGTTTGTACAGAAAAAGAGGTTGGCTTCTTGACAGACTGTGCACAAGAACTTTACAGTTTTCCTAAACTGAAAATTGTTCTTGGAGTATTTTGAGTGGCATTTGTTAATTTTAATTGCAGCCCTGGTCATCTATTTCCATTCATGCCTGTGTACGCCAATTAAATAAAAAAAAAAAAAAAAACACCCCAAACCCTAGTTTTTCTGACCAGATATTCATAATGAGGCTCAGAATACATCACTGTGCTGAACTTCCTTTGAACATATTTACTAGAAAATTCCTGGAAGGGAAAGGAACATAAACTTCATATAACCATGGGAAAAACAAACAGCACAAGTACTCTTTTAAAATCCATATCCTCAGGATTTGGCACGCGTTGTGCTTCCAGTATGAAAAAGCTGTGCGGCTTTCTGGTAGTGCTGCATCCAGTTGATGCAGAACAATACAAATTTGTGGGGCATGAAAGCAAAACAGTTGGGGGGGGGAGGGCGGGGATTTAATTAATGTTGTTTCTGTTTTATTGAATTGAGTTCTTCTGTGCCTAATTTGCATGATATGATATAGTCTCACTTTCTGAATAATGTAATAGGGTTCTTTGTTTCATTTGAAGGGGTAGAGGACCACTGAAGAATACATCTGATGTAATTAACGCAGCAAAAATGATTTCGGAGTCAGGATCGAGGATGGATGTCCTAGCACGGCTGATTGCCGATCAGGTAGGTTATTTATGCAGCAGTGCATTAAACTTGGTCGCAGATTACTCCGTCCACAGAACCTCCGACACCTAAGGAGGTCACTTACAAAAGCACTTGCCCCATTTTTAGATCTACCCGGCTGATTTTCCTTTGCTTCTCAATTTCTGAAGCAATGGATACATAGATGCTGTCTTAACTGTATGTGTGGATTCTCTTCTTCATACATATTGATGTGTCTGTGTACAAACACATAAATGTATGTGTACTTATATCACAGGTGTGTATGTACATATATTTATGTACATATATATTTGTACATATGTGTATATTTGTGAGCTCCTTGAAGCTGTGAATGCCACATTTTAGAGATGTAGTATATATGAATATATATGCATGTGCATATAAATACAAATATATATTCATAGCTCCTTAAAGTTGTGAACACAACATTTTAGACGTATCATGTAGTCCATTCTTGACTTCCTTGGGTAAATTACCCAGAAACAACTTGGGTTGTTTCAGGTGAGCCAGCTTAGATGTGGGAACATGGGATCGTTGCATTGGCATAGAGTTCTGCTGGGCAACCTTACTGCTTTGGAGGGGTGCTAGGGCTCAGCACCACCCTTAGTAAGGTTACTGACTTCTCTGGCTTTGAAATTATTTGTTTTCTACCCTAATGTCTCTATATGGTACAGAATCAGTACTTTCACTGTACCTAGGTTATGAGCCAGCTTAGATGTGGGAACACGGGATCGTTGCATTGGCATAGAGTTCTGCTGGGCAGCCTTACTGCTTTGGAGGGGTGCTAGGGCTCAGCACCACCCTTAGTAAGGTTACTGACTTCTCTGGCTTTGAAATTATTTGTTTTCTACCCTAATGTCTCTATATGGTACAGAATCAGTACTTTCACTGTACCTAGGTTATCTTTCCTCTCTCCCCCCCAGTATTGGCTGTTTCTTTGGAGCATTGATGTCTAATGGTTTGCCATGTAAAATACCCTTCTGGATAGGCCGAGTTTGGGCCTCTGCGTACCTGCAGTCTCAAAATGATGTTTTTTTTTTTTTAGCATTTAAAATAAATACATATCATCAAATGCAAAGGATTAGCACTATGCAGCCTACTTTATTTCCATTGGGTTTTTAAAGCATCAGATAGCTCAAAAACACCAAACCAGGATCTATATAAATCGATAAGCATCCTTATCATCTTCCTGGCTAAGACAACTGCACTGTAGTAGCTTAGTAAATGAATATACCAAGGGAGCAACTCATCAGGTGCAGCCCTCGTTACCAAGGAAGGTTGGTTTAGGGCCAGGCGGTGCCAGTGTAGAGAAAAAACGATGTGAACGTATCAAATCGAAAGCGTTTACTATTCCTTGTCTTCATGATTGCCTTTTAGGCACAGGGTAGCACGGTATGGTCGCTGCCTCCCACACCCTCACATACTGTCTCTCTTCCCCTCGCTTTTGCTTTTCGTACACAATGCTTCCTTTTCTATATCTATGAAGCAACAACAGTCCGTTAGTGTTTTCTGTCATACGCCTTTCTGAATTCCAGATAACAAGGCAAAGAATTTCTATTCTTTATCTATGCAGCTGTGACCTGATTTGTGGGAAAACTAGGTAAAATATCTTGAGTCCCGTTTCTGATCTTGACAGATGTTCTTCCAGCAGATCTCTCTTTCCAAGAGCACTGGAGCATGCCTTCTTTCAAGATTTTATCAATTAAAAATTAAAGTTCAAAACCGCAGCTTGTCACTGATCTACTGCAGGAAAGATGTGGTATCAAAGCCAAAGATGAATAAGTGGCATAACTTGCTCTTTTTAAAATAGGGAATCCAGTCTTGCTGAACTATTCCTTTCCTAAAATGTTCCTTTTGCTGTATTATTACAGTGACTCCAGACTAGAAACAGGAGCAAATCAGTGTGAGGAAAAAGTAGCCATGAATCATTGGTGCTCATCATTTGTGTGCCCCCTCGTAGCTGCTGGGAAGCGTGACAGCATTCGCGTTATTGTCACCTTTTTACTGGGATTCACTCAAATGGTCTCCATTCGTCCTAGCTCAGAGCTGGCGCACAGTTGATACCATTGAGCCCCCTGACCCATGGTATTTATTTCCCTGGGACATCTTATATGCACCTGAAATACACTCATCAGTTATAGGTGTGCTTTAGATGTAATTTCACGTTATAAGCACTAGAAGCAAATGAGCATACATGGTTTAAGAAAAAAAAACCACACACCAAAGCAGCACTTCCAGTGCCTCTGTGGCGAACACAACTGCAGTCGTTGCTGGGCACGGGTTACACTTAGCACAAAAGAGCCTTTACGCCTATTACAAAGATGCTTATTACAATCCTCTCACTCCTCAGATGGCTAGAAATCTAATTTTATAACCTTTTTTCCCCATGCCAAATCATCCTTTAACTTTCAGAGCTCTTTTCTCACTGTGGTGTGATTTGTTTTTTTTTTTAAATCTCCAAGGTACTTGTAAAGACCAATAATTCCTCTTCTCAGCTGTTGCTTTGCCAAATTCCCACCTTGCCCTCTTGGGGTCCTAAAATAAAAGAAACTTCACCTTCCTCTGAGCTACCTAATAGCCGTTCTCTGAAGTTGGTCTGAACTGAAGGGAACCCTTCAGGAGTTTGGTGCCCAGACTGGAACATCGATTCTAACGAGGTTTTATGAGTGTCTTAGCTGCATTAATAGTTTTTAGTGCAATATTTTACCTGTTGTCTTTCAGTAACATCTAAATTATGCAGAATTTTTATTCCATGTAAAAATGGATTTGTATGATCAGCTTCAAAAGTGAAAATAGATAGCTCTACCTTGTACCAATTTTCAGGTAACTGTTACAGGTCCTTCCTTATGCACACTTTTTTAACACTTTTTTACCACTTGCTGTTGACTTTAGGCTACCCTGTATTTGTTACCACTTGTGCTACTGTCATTTAATTAGGCCCACTCACTTCACTGTTCACAGTTGTCCCACGACTCCACTATTACTCTGCAGTTAACAGGGCCGCAGTAATGTATGATGGCATTTTCAGTATTCAAAGCTACATGCAGGGGAGAAAAGAAAACCCCCTGCTCTATGTCCTCCATCTAGCTTCAGAGGCGAGCAAGGACCTACCACTGCATAATGAAGAATCATTGCCCTCGTTGACCTTTTCCTGCTCCTAAAACATTTTCAGATTAATTACTTGGGTTCACACTCCATGTAATTTCAGAGATTCAAAATCGAGAACTGTGGAATTAAATCATTTTACATTTTTTCTTGTTCGGAGGAAAAGAAATCAACCACCACTGCCACCCTGAAACTTTATTTGCACTATTTTGTAACTCATCAGCCGCAACAGCCCCTCTCTGACATGTTGTTCTTCATTTCAGATTTTTATAAATCCCTCTTCCTGTGTTTGAAGGAGAGGGAGACAGTGTGGTACAATTAGCAGAATTCCGTTTTATTTCAGTCCATGCTCACAGCACCTTAAGATGACTCAGAGTTAACAACTGTGAACATAATCACAGTACAGCATCAAGATAAATCCAGGCAAATTAATCACAAGTGCATTGATAATAAATTTAGTTTAAAATAGGATTGTTCCAAATTCATTGTCAAATTTGTGACCTGAAAGCCCCAAGGTCATTAAGGCAGTTAGTACACCCTGGTTTTAATGGAACATGCTGTAGATTAAGATCTTTATTAAAAGCCTCCTCAGTATTCCCGTTGTTTTGCACCAGGACGTGCTGGTCCGTTGTGATCCCAGTAAGAAAGGCACTCGGACGCTGTGCCGTGTCATCTAAAATGCTGTCTGTCAGCACTAACACTGTAAGGAATGAACAGTGGAGATGATAATCTTATGTCCCTTTCAGTGGTGGGAACCCCAGGTGGCGTAGCTTCAAATGGGCCTTCAATCCGCACACGGCATGCTGGGCAGACCCTGTCCGTAGAAGAGATTTCCCCCATTTGGGTCATTTGAGCGATTACCGGCTTTTCTTACAAGGAAACAACTCTATTTATCATTTCCACTGTCAAAGGGGATTCCACGTGAAACCGCCTTTCTGCCGTCCTGGGTAAAGGCAAGGCTAGGCAGGTCACCCAACCACCAGTGCTGCCCAGG